TTTAAACATGCGTTATCAAATGACTACTAATAGTCTGAGAAGATAACTCTGTCCGGACGAGCTCTAAAGTACAAATATTTTTTTTTCTCCTACAGCTCTATTAAGGGAGTTTTTCCAAAAGCAAACACCAGTTCTTTGGAAACTTGTGCTATCGAATGAGTATTAGCACTCTGAGGAAGGAGCTTTGCCCAGCGAACTGTAATCGGGATAAAAAAAAAACACGTGGGTGTTGTGAAATATAATTTCAATTGGGATTCTACAACGTCATAACGGGATGGTTTGGAACAGCTGTAGTCAGAGACCCAAGGTTCTAATAATTGCTAACACTCCTATAAAAAATTTCTGTTCACGAGCGATGAGATCACTTATTCATTTGTCGCCGAATAGCATAAAATGCCCGTCCTTATATATTAAGAAAAACTAGTTGGCATGAAAACATAATGTATCTGCTTCTCAATTTGATTTTACCCATTGATTTTTATTGAGTGATAGTCGATGAAATAGATAAATAACAACTGCGATCACTCATAGAAAATAAGTGACCCCCGCCCCACATTGAGCCCTGCATTGTAGCAAGGAGGGACGCGTATGTACCAAGGAGGACGAACCTCCGAAACACTGGTGTATGGCCCTGGCCGTACCAACCTCGTTTAGGCTAAAAACATTCTCTTTTTTGGATTTTTTTGAATGTTCATTACGAGGTTTTAAAAACAGTCAATTTAATGGATTGTTTTGGTCTACCAGCCGAACTCCATCGGACTGAAAGTGGTGATGGACCAGTGTCATTGTACACTATGCCATCACCACATACCACATACGCCTCCCTCCTTGCTACAATGCAGGGCTTAATGTGGGGGCGAGGGTCACTGACGAGGAGGACGAACCTCCGAAACACCGGTGTATGGCCCGGGCGTACCAACCTCGTTTAGGCTAAAAACATTCTCTTTTTTCCATTATTACTTAATGCTCGATAAACAAGTTTCATACTTATCTATTTAGCAAATTATGAAAAGTAATAAACGTCTTGTCGTAGCTCTGATCTTATTCACAAATTGTGCGGCTTCATTTATCTAGAAATTTACTATAATTGACAATGTCGAGTTTCGTACAGTCTTAGAAAAATACCATGCACATAATAACTAATGTTCACAAAAGAATTTAATTGGTGCTAGGGTAAAATAGAACAGTACTAACACAAACGATACTAACTAGTCATTTTACATACAAGTCGCTGTACGCTTTAACATGAAGAGTTCTGTCCTTTCTCAGCTACTGCCTGCTAAAAAAATTGAGCTGCGCTGTTGTATGTGACGAAGTTATAAGTCATACAGTATCAGAAAATACCATGCGCAAAATAATTAATTTTCACTAGAAAAATTACTGGTAGCTAAGGTAAACACAGCAGCAAATAATACTAAGCAGTCATTTTGCACACAAGTCGTCGTACGTTTTGCAATGAGGAGTTCTGCCCTTTCACGGCGATTGTGTGCTTGAAAAACTGGGCTACACTGTTGTCTGTGGTGAATGAGCAGTTTAAGGACGTGAAAAAAAAAAGAATTTCGCTCAGATGAGCGATGCCTTTCCTCCTGTCGAACAACAGCACTCTGCTCCATGCTCTGCTGGCCGTTCACTTCGTTTAGTTCCTTTACGGCGGCACTTTCACTCTCGTCGTTGTTATATTGCTGTGGTTGTTTATAAAGCTATGACAAATCTATGCAAAACTCGTAAGCGGAGCACACAAGAAAGTGGAGCAAATTCACGAGTAGCAATGACATTTTACTGGAGCAATTTTGTATTCATACTAAATTTCTGGGTGTTAGCCTCGTCCCGGAGACTTCGGTCCGCTTCACCGTTGTTCACTCGAAAAAAAATTCAGTCATTTTATATCATGGACTGCTGTGGTCACAACTACTTGATTTGTTCCCAATCTCAGTTTCATGTTTTGCGCGTACAGTGTGATCAAGAAAAATTAATCCTTCCTACCACCTTTGTTCCTTGCTTCCGTTTGCTTGCATGTTCTGAAAATAGTGGTTTCCACTGTTAAGCGGTCATGTGCACTGATTTCGATATGTACACTGGTGCGCACTATTGGTCGTCATAACTGTTTTGATGAGCCACAATCTTTGATGAGGCTAACAAATTTTTTGCCGGCCACTTCTCAATCTTTCGATAGCTTGCAGTGTAAGAATGTAATGCTGGGAGTTTTTTGGAAAAGCAGGAGTACGCATTTGGATGCATGCAAAAACCGCTCTTGAACGAGTTCATTAACTTTAAATTCAAGTGTCAAGAGATTTAATTCAGTTCTAATTAATGCACGTGAGTAAAATTACTCTTCAGGACATGGAAACCAAAATGCATTGAAGCACACACAGCACTGCTAGCAAAACTTCTTAATGTTGATGACAATGCGGTTCTAAAATGGAACTTATGGTGGATAATATAACACACTTATTCCTACCCATAGAGCAATAGATCAAGCATTTTTGCACACCAGTCATGTTGACATCTCCTCAGTTGGTTTAGTTATCAAGAAGTTATTGAAGACCAAAGAGCCACCCAATGTGCACGCAGATACGAAGTAAGGCAAAATTGAGAGAAATGAATGCTCCGATGTATCATCTCCTATACATATCAATTTATGGGCCTGTTTTTTTGTGGTGAGATGTTTGAAAGTTTTTGAGGTTTTTCATTACCATACCATTCATTGATCGAAACTTGTCTGGCAGTCTCAACTTCCGTCTTCATTGTGTATTTCTAATGCTCCACAGTTTTCATAGTAAGTTGTTCCTTTACTATACAAAGAAGTACACTCTCTGATTGACGAAGCTTGGCGGATTTGTTCGTGGAATGAATGTCACTCCGATCTCAACCAGATTAGTGACTGAAAATAGAACAAAAGTCAATCAATGCTTAGTAGATGAAATTCGAGGTATTTCAGAGAGCTATCTACACTTTGATTCTGTCACTACAAATATTTCAACTATCACGATGTACATTGTTAGGTGGTGCAGCGTAGCACAGTGATCAGAAATGTGCCGTTTTACACATCTGTTCGCTGATCCGATTAATTCGATGTGCTCACCATGGCCTTCCAAAGCATCTGCATCGGCTGGTGCAAAGCACTCCCTCAGGATTTTTAACTTTCGAATGATTATCTTACTCCCACGAAAAGTTCTTGTCCAGTTAAAAGGGCCGCTTTTTCATTTATCCCCTAATGACAGCGAAGAACCGTTACTTATTTGGATATTTGGACGGCTCGTATTCACAGGTAGTGCAGGCCTCAGCATAGATTCCATTCGTTTCTCTCTCGCGCAACTGTCATCTATAGTGGTGGTCTGTTTCGAGCATGGTGACGTACGCAAGGCCCATTCCATGATTCCAAATTCGCTATCGTCTGCAGCTGCAGATGGTATACGTCAGCCACAAACAGGTCCGCCCATCGTTTGGATGGTGTTCCAAGAGAGCGCTTGCTTTCTTTCACTCGTCTTTTCGTCCATCTGTGGTTCATTCTATTATACAACCGGCAAATTTGTTTTCGTTATCGATGTTATACTTCTAGGTCATGAAGATGGGATAGTTTTTGAGGATCGAAGCTACGCAAGCCGGCAAGACGTTGTATGTGCCGGCTGACTTTCAGAGGACTTCGCTCAAGCGTCCTATGAGTGGTACGCATACTTCTTGACGTGATTGTAGTAGAGTCCCACGTTTCTACCGCACATCAGAGCGCTGGGGGATATTCGATCGAAAAGGTTCACATGGAATGTGGGTTCCACTATATGGTCCCTGGCTTCCTTAAGAGGACCGCCGAAGACGACCCATGTTTCTCTCCTTCTTCTGTCCAGTTCTTCTTCCATTTTGTTCCTTGTGTACCTTTGAACGTCCAAGGTGCACGTACAAGGCGGGCTCTTCGATCAGAATACCATTCAAATGGATATGCTCACCTTCGCACCATAAATTCTTCAAGAACTTTGTCTTCGTCTTGTTTTTCGTAGCCTAATCCTTTTTCTGATTCTTTGAGTTCACTGAATATCGTTTTCCACTTCGGTAGTACTTTACAAAAAGATGACGATTTCGTCGGCAAAACGAAGGTTTAACGAGGATTTTCCATGAATCCGTATGTTTTTCAAGTGTCGGTCGAGCAATTTTGTCATCCAGCAGTGCGCCGGTAAACAGCTTTGGCGATTTAGTGTCTCCTTGTAGGACCCCTTTTTCGGTGGATATGGTAATCGGTCGTGAAAGGGCCGTCCTTTCGTGTCGCATTTTCGATAAGTGTTTTCTGCTAGTAGTGGTGTGTACGTCGAGTCTACACCATGATCGACGAACGCTCAGAAATCGCGTTCGTTTTGCCTTTATCAAATCTCTTCATAGTCGATAAAGCTTAGAGCAGGAGGCGCACGGTATTTCCGATAGACTTCAGTGCCCGCGACACACGACATTTGTCATATTAATTTGGTAAATTACATAGATAGATTTATTATACATCTCAACATCAACTGCATGAGCCTTGGCTGTTATAGCTCGAGAATAACCAATAAGGTTTCTTCCCGTAGAGATCCCGAGAAGAAGCAAAATTTGAGAAAATGAAATGTGGATTCACTGTCAAAACAGATTTCTAATGGAATTAGCGAATATTATGAACACTAAATTTCCCTCCGTTGGAGGAACTTTGAAGGTACTAGTGAAAAAGAACGGGTTCTCAAATCTTCCCCACAACAAGATTGAAGATTTGTTTCATGTGCTCCTCGACAATTTAACACCAAGAGTTTCCTTACAACTACGTATAAAATACCCCGAAAAAAAGAGTCAATTCCTAATTTTAGGTACTATCAGGAATGCAGATGGGCTATGAAAAATCTATCAAAAAGATCACCATTCCCTTGCCTTTTGTACATAAGGATAAGGTATATGTGATACTCGAAATTTTTAGTATTTACAGCATCTTGCTCAGTGTTATTATGTTTTATAAATGCCTAAGAGAATTGAAAGGTGAGCAAAAACGCGGCCTCAGGCGGAAATCGAACCCGCTTTTCATCCATACCGAGGACACGTGTTACTACCACTACACCGGCGAGGCACGTTTGTACCACTACTCATTTTTCAACATCTCTATGTTAGCGATCAGCCACCAACCGTTAACAGGTGTGGTTGAGTATGCGATTGCGCTTTATATACCCAGTTGAGCTGACAGCCATTGCACTAGCTAATCAATTAATTATTGTTGTGTTTTCTGTGTTCTTGCTCACCACTCAATTTCTAAAAAAATATATGATAACTATCTTTTTGGGCCATACACGTGCTCTGTTATGGACAACCGATAGAGCCCAATGCACGTGTTTTCGGCCTTGACAGCTTTGTCAGTTGGGCAGTACCCTTGTCTTAGCCAATCCTCTCGGGGGTCTCCATCACCTTATATGGAGAAGGCGCAGACGTACAATTCACGCATGACGTCAAGTAAAAGAAATTTCTAGATCGGCAGTGCTGTACACTTGATTGTTATTGGCTGGTAATTAAGAAATGTCATACTGTTCGTTTCCTTCAAATAATAATCACTATCAACCCTTAGAAAATAGCAGTTGATATGTTTACCAAAACCGGAACATGCATCGAAATTTCATGGTTTCTGATGTGAGGAATGTAATTTTCAAACAATTACTGTAAAGGACTGCATTTCTGGACCCCTACAATCTCGGAATAGCCTTGATGGAGCACTTTTGATTTCCCGTAGTCAGCTATCCACCAATTGCCAATTTACTGACCGGAGAATGGAAGGAAGGGAGGAACTTTTGCACCGTTATGGAATGAAATCAGTGACTGTTGTGCGTGTATTGCACGGCATCACTTACATATTCTTGTATCAATATAGTTGAGCAAAATTCTAAACCAATATAACGAATCCCGTCTGTGGTAAGTCATTGGGGTTTATTGGGAGCACCGAATGCTTCTTGCTCTAACTATTATCGACTATGCGTTCAGCAGAAATGAATCAAGTGCAATCTTATCACGCTCGTCTACCATGATGTAGACCCGACCTATAAGCGAATGTCAGCAGACTGCTACCGAAACTGCACCACGAAAGCACGCCTCTTTCAACGACCAATCAAGATAAAGGATAAAACATTAAGCTCTTGGCGTTTCTTAAACCCTGAGGGATGCGCCATGCATTCGTATTCAATTTTTTCGTTTGAGGTGATTGAATGCATATATGGCCTCTACAGTGACTCGCGGTGGCCTCCGCTGAACATAGTCAGTGCTGCTTATCTTACCGGACAGTTTGAGACCACTCTGGTACCAATTTACCGACCTCGTAGTTATGGATGGCTTGGTGAGCCATAAGCGCGCGATCAAACCATTGACCTCATGTGCGACGCAGAGCACCTCTAACCAGTGCGCCACATTCGCTCGAGCACCAAACAAGATAGCCACCGAAAAATAGGTCCGACAAGGCGACATTATATCGCCAAAGCTGTTACCGCCACATCGCAGTGGATGACAAAATTTTTCGGCTAAGAGGCACACGGATTCATGGGAAATTTCTATCAAACATTCGTTTTGTCATCGACATCGGTATCTTTTGCGAAAGTGTCAGCAATGCGGGAAGCGATTCTCAATGAACTCAGCGAAAAAAGATTAAGCTAAAATTAGAATGAGTCAGAGTTCATGAAGATTCAAGGGTGCGGAGGTGAGAAAATTAAATTGAATTGTATCTCTTATTAAGGAGACTACCATGTAAGTGTATCTTGGGCTTTCGATGAGTCCATAGAGAACAGAATGGAGGAAGAAGAACTAGGCAGAAGATGGAGAGCAACATGGGCAGCACTTGGGCCGGTCAAGGAAGCCACCGGTCTAATAGCCGGGCGAAACTCCGTGTGAGCCTTTTCGATCGAAAGTCATTCCAGCGCTCTGTTATACAGTCGAATCGTGGGGCTTTACTACACCACGTCAAGAAGTCTGCGTACCGCTAATGCGACGCTTAAGCGAAGTTTTCTTGAAGTCTGCCGGCACCCACAACTTCTAGCCGGTTTGCGTAGCTTCGATAATCGAATTCTATCTCATCGTCATTACCTAGAAGTATGTACATCGATAACGGAAGATAAATTTGCCGGTTATATTATAGAAAGAACAGACCACAGATGGACGAAAAGAGCAGTGAAAATGTAATTTTCTTTTTGTAAGACCACATGAATGATGGGCGGACGTGTTTGAGCCCAAGGTCAAACGTCTGCAACCGCAGATGGTTACGAGTCTGGATTCGCGGGATAGGCCTCGCGTGCGTCGCCATGCTCGATAGAGAATACCACCATAGACGACAGTTGCGCGAGAGAGAAACGAACGGAAACTGTGCTGAGGCCCACACTGCCTGTGAAGACGGGCCGTCCAAGTATCCAAATAAGTATTGGTCCATCTACGTCATTAGGGGATGGATGAAAAAACGGCCCTTTTTGCTGGGCAAGTTATTGCTTTTCCTGAGAGTAAGATAATCATTCAAAAGTTAGAAATCCTGAAAGAGTGCTCTGCACGAGCCGATCCAGAAGGTTTGAAAGGCTTGGTGAACACAATGAACTGATCAAATCAGCGATAAGATGTGTACAACAGTACATTTCTGACCACCGTGCTACGCTCGTCCACCTAGCAAAATACATCGTAATAGTTGAAATATTTGGAGTGGTAGAATCCCTTCGAAATATCTCAAATTTCTTTTACTGAGCATTGATAGACTTTTGCTCCATATTCAATCACTCTGGTTGAGTCCGGAGTGACATTCATTTCACGAATCAATCCGCAAGATACTCCCAGGCTTCGTCAATGAGAGGATGTACTTCCTTGTATGGTAAAGGAACAACTCACTATGAATATTGTGGAGCATTAGAAATACACAATGAATATGGAGGTTGACACGGTCAGACAAGTTTCGATCAATGAATGGCATGACAATGAAAAGTCAAGAACTTACAAGCATCTCGCCACAAAAAAAGCATTCCCATGAATTCTTATGTACAAGAGTTGACACATCGGCGCATTCATTTTTGCTCCTCCGCCTTAGTTGGTATTTCGCACAGAACCACCCTACATTTCCGGTTGTTGCACATTTGATGGTTCATTTGTCTTCAACAATAGGCAACAACTTCATGATAACTAAACAAACTGAGTAATCATCAACTAAGGTACAAAAATGCCCGGTCAATTGCCTATGGGTACAATTGAATGTGTTATCCTTTCATCATTATTTGAGCCAACATGTCATGTGGTCTGGTAAGGGCTCTTGTACAGCCCGAGGCACGTGTCTCGTCCTTACAGACTTATTAGCTGGGCAGAACCCGTCGTCTGTCGATCTTTTCATAGTCAGTTCTCTCGGGAGCATCACACTCCTTATATATAGCTATCGACGACGTACGCTTTACACTCGATGTCAGGTGAAACATTCACCTAACACAGGGTGTTGTGCACTCGATTGCTCATTGGCTGGTACTTTTATCATAATTATACCTTTATCTCGAGTGCTTTGTTTAGACCACGCTCAAATTTCAATATATCCTTTCATCATTATTTGAGCATTATAAAATGTGTTATGTTATTCACCAGATGGTCCATTTTGGAACCGCATTCCATCAGCTTTAGGAAGTGTTTTGTTGGCAGTGTTGTGTTTATTTCAAGCTTTCTTCTTTCTATACTCCAAAGGATGATTTCTCTTATTTCAGGTATTAGAACTGAATCAATGGTCTATTGCCAGTTGAAGTAATGAACTCGTTCAAGAGCGATTTCTTGTGTGCATCTAAATACGTACTTCTGCTATTCCAACCAACTCACAACACAACATTCTTATTCTATAAGCTATCGATTGATTGCAAAGTGTTTAGCAAAAAATTTGTTAGGCTCATCAAAAATTGCGTGCATCAAAGTCGGTATGATTACCAGTGGTGTGTATCATTGTATTTATCGATATCAATGCAAATGACTGCGAAATGGTGGAAACCATTGTTAGCAGAACAAGCAAGCAAGCCGAAGCAAGGAACATAGGTGGTGGGCGGGGTCATTTTTTCTGAATCACGGTGTACTTCGTTCTTTCACATGTGCAATATATGAAATCGAGAGAGGGGATAGATCAAGCCGTTGGATCACAGCAGTTCATGTTATGAAACGATTAAATTTTATTGGGAGTAAAACGGTAAGCAGACTGGAGTTGCCGAGACGAGGCTAACCCCAGGGATTTAGCATGAATACAAAGTTGTTCAATAAAACATCATTGCTACTGTAAACTTGCTCTTTTGCCTTGTGTGCTCGGCCTATAAGTTTGCCTGGATTTGTCATAGAAGCATGTCTCAAACTCGACATTCAAACCTTTATATACATAGAGTAAAACCGTGTAATATTGAACATGAATTTTCTATACGCACTTAAATGTTTCTAACAAGGTGAGAGTACTTTTACATACAGTTTGATGCGAGCAATCAGAAAACGCTACTGGATGCCGGATCCATGGCAATATAATAACAACGGCGAGAGTGAAGGAACAGCCGTAAAGAAGGTAAACGAAGTGAACGGCAGCTGAGCATGGAGCAGAGCGCTGGTGTTCGACGAAAGGGATGGCGTTGATCATCTGTACAAATTTCTTTTTTTTTCACGTCTGAATTGCTCAACTTCACCACAAACGGCATTATAGCCCAATTTTTTCATAACACAATCGCTGTGGAAGAACAGAATCCTTCATGTAAAGCGTACGACACTTAGCATGTGAAATGACTGGCTAGTATTATTTGCTGCTGTGTTTACCTTAGCTAACAATAATTTTTCTAGTGAAAATTAGTTATTATGCGCCTATTATTTTTTAAGACTACGCGAAACTTGACATTGCCATTTACCTAATAGTAGGTTTCTAGATAAATGAAGCCGCACAAGTTGTGGATAAGATCACAGCTATGACGCCACGTTTATTACTTTTCGTAATCTGATAGTTAGATAACTGTGAAGGCTGTTCATTGAGCATCAAGTAGTAATTTCAAATTATAGAGGCTTATAGTGAGGAGTATGAAGTGAGTGAGAGTTCTGACCAAACGTTCCTTGATCCACAAAACGATT